CACCAAAAATAGCAGTATCAGATTCAAATCATCTGATTTGCGCTCTCCTCTTGCTTATTGCTCGTTCATTTTGTCGTGTATGGTTTTTCTTTGTTTTACCTTGTGTCGGGCTTCTATGTCGTTGAGGTCGACAAATTCTGTGAGGACGTGGACTCACTCACTCACTTTACCAACCTGCGGTATGTTGTCTTAATGAGCGCGTGCTTTTGGATCGAACACTGGCTCTAAAGCTTGCCTCACATGGTATAACCATTTTTGTAACTTGAAAATTCCCATTTAAATCTCTAGAACAAAAGACCATCTGGTGAGCAAATGCTTTCAATGATTCATCGTCAGACCATTACAATCATATAGAGGTTAGAAAGAGAAATCGACCCAGTTAGTTCAAAACGAATTGATCACGTGAAGGTCAATGTCAGAGTGGAAAAGAAACGAATTAGGTCTTAGAAGGCTAGATGTTCGCTACCGCGTCTGACCGAAGGCAGTCGACCTGGGCGTCTTCCATCTTCGCTGGCCAGGGAAGCTGGAGAGCCTGGACCAGCTTCTTCTGTGAGCATAAGGACGGCTGGAACAATCGAATGCATATTGCTTCAGCTGTCGCAAGCATACGAACGCGGTAACCTTTCGTTCGGTGCGGTGGAACCTTGTAAACTATTCGGAAAGCGCGTTTCCAATCCACTTCATGGCCGGTGTCCACAATGTGGGCCAGAATGGCGCTACTAATGATTCCTATGCCCCCTTGACGAAGCCAGCGAGGGCAATGTTCGTTCACGCGTTTCGATAACTGCCGCGCCGTTCGACCAATATACGTCGCGCCACAGGCGCACACGAATTGATAAATCACCATTGATGTGGTCAGCATCGGCAGCTTGTCCTTGTTTTGTGAACGAATGAGTGGTTCCGTTGAGAACACGCACTTCAACGAGGCTGCTGGAAAGGTCGACTTTACCGCGGCCGAAAGACTTCTGGTTAGACGCTCGGTAGCCGCGTCCCCTTTAAATGGTAAGCGAATAAACAACTCTTTCTTTGGCGCTGTTAACACTGCCACTGGTTTCGGTTTTTCTAGGAGGTTCCTTAGGATAAATCTATCGGGATAACCGTTTTCACGTAGAGTGTTCTGTATGAACATTAACTCCGCATCTAGGGTGTCTTCCGTACAGATTCGACGTGCTCTTGACGTAAGACAGTGAACCAAGTTGCGTTTGTATCTCATGGGGACGAAACTGTAAAAATTCGTGTACTGACCTATCCACGTTGGTTTTCTGTAGATATGACGCTGGATGGATCCATCTGGTCTCCTTGTTAACAAGACATCGAGATATGGTAGCCGGTTATCGCTTTCCTTCTCGTAAGTAAACTGCACTGCTGCATGCACCCGGTTGAAGTGGTCAAGAATTTCCTCCAGATTAACATGTTTATCCACCACAACAAATATATCGTCCATGTATCGATGATAGCGGTCAAAAAGGTCTATCGCCGCCCGCATTTCGTTCCTCTCCAGCTTTGCCATGAAGATATCCGCTAATAGCGGTCCGAGAGGGGATCCCATGGCCACGCCGTCCTTCTGCCGGTAGTATTTCCCGTTAAATAGAAACTGAACATTCCAGGTGCAGCGTAACAGTAGGCTCTTAAGCTCACGCGTAGGTATACACATTTTTATTCCTGACTCGGCTATATAGTCGCAAATGTAATCGATCGTCTCAAGCAATGGGACGTTTGTAAATAGTGAGACGACATCGAAAGATAACATTAATTTCTCATTGATGTTATCATCTTTGATGCTTTCGACGAAATGGAAGCTGTCACGAAGACTGTAGATAGCGAGCTGTTGTCGCACAGGTTCAAGAAGTTCTACAAGCCACTGAGCAACGGCATGGTACGGCGAGTTAACCATTGATAAAATAGGACGAAGTGGGATGTTAGGTTTGTGGATTTTTGGTAACCCGTAAAGACTTGGGACGCTTGTGCCACTCGGTTTAAGGCTGTCATACAGAGCATCCGAAATGTACCCCTTGGTCCGGAGTTCTTGCAAGCTCTTATCATTTCTAATGCCTGTGCTTTCGCATAAGGTCCAGTTATGCTTGCACGACTCGGAGTGTTACTCACTGGTGCCAATATATTGGTTGCAACTACTGCTCATAGAATCGTTGCATCAACAGGTTCACCACATGATATATACCAGAGTGTTTTGTTTTACCTGGCTTTCCACTGGAGCGGTGCGCTCATTCATATGCATTCGCGTTGTATCACCACTGACTGAAACTCTGATTTCTAATCTCCTCTTTATCCAGTAGTAACGGAACACTTTGTCACACTACACCTTTCGCTAGTAAGTTAGTGCCGTGGTGGATTTTTCTTACTGAGACTTTTTAAGCCACTTCAATTCCTTCCGTTCTTTGGTACACTTTAAGCGGTTTATCTTTTGTTTCGGTTCGAACCAGTTTGAAACATTTCTTCTCCTTTCAGCTTTTCTTATATTTGCTGTTTACGAAACTCAGTTCCACTTTAGTGAACGTTGCAACATACTCGCATGTCCTTAGGGCACATACGCCTGCATCGATTTGGTTGGAGAAATTCTTTCATTTCTGCGTGGTTGATTATATTGTTTGTAAGCCGATGTTAGGTGTTTCCCATACACTCAACCTGTTTTACCTGGGTACATCTGATCTGTTTTTATTCCATCATGGCACAAGTCTCCCATACACCGGTATTTTGCAGCAGTGGATATCTTTTCTGCTCCTTACAGAGTGAATCCTATCGAGTTCGATGTCTCTATCCTATTTCGAGCCCGGTTTTTCATGATCAAGTCCGACTGTGAGTACAACATACACCAAGCTATCCGGCACGGTGTTTGGTGTTCGACACGCGCTGGCAATCAGTGTCTCGATGAAGCGTATCACTCAGTTCAATCAAACTTCTTTACTACCATTGGTGATCATTCTGGTTCGCAAAGTCTGACGTTCCAGGTGAGTCTCATTTTGTGACAGCTGCCTTCCGGGTACGTTCGCGCTCCTTATTTGATAACACCCTTTTGGTATCCGTCTCGTGTTCGAGCCACTTCAGTCTACGTGTGATCGTCTGTTTCTAAGGCCTACTGTCATAGCACTTGGAGAAAACAGAATCTCTTGTAATAAACCAAGTTAATATCCCACTTTTCGAAACCCATCGCCCCAGATTGAAGTGTTCTGTCGTTTATTTAAACATCAACGTTTTCGCATACTCGCAATATCAAGATCGTTAGCGACTTCAGTCAGCGTTTTTTGTACATTTTGTTACCACATTTCTCAGCCATTTCTCACGTATTCCTGATTTTCCTCGTGCATCTCAAAAAGCTGACATAAATCGGACTTTCTGATGAAATCTTGCCATCTTCTTCCCCTACGTATCGTTTGATCACACGGTTTTTATGCGTCTGAATATTCGCCACGGTCTACTCACGCACCAACGAGTTAGTTTATCTCGCGCATTTCATATTATACGAGAATATACTGATAACTTGCGAAACTCACGCGCTCACCTTCCGGCTTCCAATGCCGGATATATATATATATATATATATATATATATATTGTCGACATCCGTATCCCGATTCGCCTTTCACTGTGGTCTCCAAGGGGACAGCCAAAAGACACCAGCGCCTACAGAGGGACCATGGGTGAATCGCGCTGCACCACCCACACTTCCATACACACGCCGCATTCAGTGTAAACCCGTAGGAATTAGACAAGGAAGCATGTAATTTGCAGCCAGGTTTCATCACCGGAACCTGCCCACACTCTTTCAACAAGAAAAACAGAAGCATTCCTCCCTAGTTGGAAACCATGCGCACCAGACGTACACAACGCGGTGGCTGTATAAGCAAAAAAATTTGCTTGAAAGGTTCGAGTGACGCGTTTCCACCGGGATCGAAGAAACATGAAATCCGGAACTGGATGACGGTACTATGTTCAAATGTATAAATGAGCCTATACAATAAATCCCTTAACGATTATGCTTCCAAACGCAGAATAATTACAATGACAATCGTTTGGTCCGAGTCGATAGGTCCAGCTTCAGTGCGCGCTGTACGAAATCACACTACTAAGGTATACGACGTGTTTTTAAGACGGGTAGAGGCGTGAGATTGGTTGATCACCGGTCCAAAAGGGATGCGGATTGAGTGAGCCTCAAGGGGGTGTGAAATTGGCCTGAGCGGCGCGTTCACCAGCTGAGTTACATATGCACATAGACAAAGGAGGAAATGGTCAGCCAGGCACGTCCGGTGGGGACAAAGGTTCAGCGGACATATATGATCGATGAAGGGTGAAGGTCACCAAATGACCCTAATGGGTGCAGTGCGAAGTGTTTACGATCATAAGCAAAGTTAGACAAATGTATAGAGGCAATTTAAGATCGTGAGATTGCGAGGTGATAACAATTTTAGGGGACGTAAGGCGGAACGAAGCGGAGATGGGGTTTCACGACGAGATGGGGAAGTATAGTCGTAATGTGTTGTAGGGGAAAGGAATATGGAGTGGAATTGGGATCACCACGTCTGGATGTTTACTACACTGCCCCTCAAATTCGCTCCGGAATTTTCATTGCTTGACGACAGTGCGGTACAATTCTGGTCCGCCCTAACCCACTCCATCCACGATGGGCGGATACAGGACTTGCACCGGTACGCCCGTTGATCTCACAGTGGTCATTCCTGAAGCAGCAAGTCAGAAGACCCGCCTTCCACCGGCGGAGAGACAACGGCCAGAACTATTTCCTCATCTAAGCCACTTTCTTCTACCAAACAATGCTTCCGCAAGTCTGATTCGAATGGCTCATCTTTAGTTTTGACTAGATTCGTCGCTGCACCTGATGGACTGACCAAATCCGGGGTACCACCAGGATCCCACTTGTTTGTTGCAACTGCGCTATCATTCAACAATTCGATGACAGGATCTCTAAAAATTGGATAAGGCCCAGCTGAAGAAGCCAACTGCGATTTGTTCTGGATAGCGTTCGCTTCTAACCCTAGCAGAGTGACCAACTACCCAAAAGTGATGAATAGCGACACCGAGTGCATCTAGGTATAGCATCGGAAGTTAACGAGGCAGATGGAACTACGGAGGCGGGTAAAGACTCTGTTATCTCAATGAAACTCACCCATGGAATTGATGAAGACAGACTGATGGGCGATGTAGATTTAGCAAGTGAAAAGCGGTGAGAGTTAGATGGAATGGGTGGCTTCAAACTCTTCTGCAACGCGGCAGCTGCGCGGTGCATCGCCACCAAACGACGTGTCGCAATCCTTCCGAGGGGCCACTGTTGGTCGGCTCGTCCGCAGGAATTATCGTCAGAGTCCTTTGAGATAACCCGCACATCCGAACCGGTTGCACCAACCGTTTCTTGTTCAGTACCCAAGGGCACTTCTGATTCAGTAATTACGTCTCGAATTAAATAGCTTGTATAATCATCCACATAACGGGCGCCAAGATTCGCGTCGCTAGCAAGGGTCTTAAATGTTGGGTGCATGTTAGCGTTCAAATACAATCGAAGAGGGAGACGAACCTCACTGGCTAACTGATGTGCGTTGAGGTAGACGGGAACAATTGGACGATGACTTAACTGTTTTGATTCGTAAGTCACTACTTCACTAAGGCGGATATCGGTTGTGCAAATGTCGCGGTGGAGCTGTAGCTGTAAGTCTCTGAAGCATGTATCGAATTCGATATGAACGGTGTGCTGTTTCTTCCATTTGTCCACAACAGATATATCGGAATTCGGTAAAAGTGCGCACTTTTTCCTAACGTCTGCTGCTACAGGTTCGATTTATTTTCTCGTACCGATTGATTACCCAATAGTCGGCGGCTCAAGCACTGCAGTGGGAGCCAAGTTGACTCATAGTTGTTGGGAATATCCGCTCGCAGAGTTTTCCTAGAGATTACTGACTCTACTTGTCCATCTACCAGTTGCACTGAACTCTCAGTGATAGATAGGGCTTTCTCGTCGTCTACGGAGAAAGAGCGGCTGTCCGAGTTCATCCTTTCAAGGTCACCGCCATCAAAGTGCTGCTGGATCTTGCAAAAAGGTCCTAGTAACGTCCATTCTAACAAGGTTTTCGCAGCGAATGGGAGTTGCCGTCCGCCCCGACGCTGTTCTAGCTGCCAGTGGACTTCAGGGATATCTGCTCCCAGAAGAATTCGAACTCTAGTGTCTTTAATATCAGCAAAATGAACATCAGATAAATGAGGGTAACGACTCGCCACTTGGCTGATGGGGCATGCTACGGCATTCAAAGGTAGGCGCCTCATGCTATAAACTCGTTCAACAGTAACCGAATCGGAGCCATCCGGGGCCGATAAACGGAAATCCGCAAGACCTGCGTTCAAAGATGCAAACCCACTCAATGTCTGTACTTTCAAAGACGCAGTATTAGCCTTTAACCAGACTTTCTGCAGGATATCTTCTTGGACAAGGCTTACGTCAGAACCGTAAGTCTCGACCGATCTCAAATGACCCATTAAAATACCGGAACTATACCAAGACAGACTTTCTCAAAAGCAGAACTGGCTGTATGAAAAACGTTGGACGTCTTCTGCGGAGAACTAAGTGTTTTTACCGCATGCAACAGGGGATGGTGCATCCCTTTACATGAGGATAGTTTGCACCCCTTACTATCTCGACAGTTCCATAGCCCGATGGCCTGGTCTCAAACAGTTGTAACATCCCCCTTTGGATCTTACGAGCTCCCACCGCTTGGGGCTGTCCGAAAAGAGGAACGTTGAGCATGGCGCCGTGTCGTGTTCTTCGTTGCACGCTAGGCATGCTGGTTGCTGGGGCTGCTCTGACGATGTATAAAAGGCAAAATTACGGTCGGTACGTTTATCACCCGACCGTTGCGACTGCGCCACATTCTGGAGACACTGAGTGCTCGTCGTCGCCAGCTGACCAAATCTACTACATGCTACTCGCGCTTCAGTAGCGATAAAGTCTGTCAATGCTCTAAACCAAACGTCCCATCCCTATTGGACGAGGAAATCCGTTCCTCTTACCCATCTCGACTTTGGGCTACTGGGCAAGACGCGGACCAGTCGCTCAATCGGGTGGTTCATGATCGTCAACCTTCTCTAGTTCTAAACACAGCTTAGCCATATTTGCTGCGTTCTCGGCTTGCAAAACACGTTTCTTATTCTCCAACTCCATCTCGGCTAGTAACTGCTCTCAGTTTAACTCTGCTAATTTCAACGCTGCAAAAGCGCCGCTTACTCCTACCGCTAACCTGTGTCCCAGAACATGAAACCGCATTGTTGTCAGCAAGAGGAAAAAGCTTGACTTGCCGAGTTTCATCCTCAGTTTCGCAGGGTATTCCTTTTCGCAGACATGGCTCAACACAGGAGGCGATTACTTCTATTAAGATTCGAACCGTAGTGGACCCGTTGATCGACACTGGTACTTCGAATGGTGTATGCCATTTAGAAGGGAAGGAGCAGGCCAAAGTCCGTGGATTCCAAAGAAAGCCACGTTAAGTAATGCAAGCAAAAAAACTTGCTTGAAAGGTTCGAGTGACGCGTTTCCACCGGGATCTAAAAAAAACATGAAATCCGGAACTGGATGACGGTACTATTGTAGAGGGGCCTCTTCCAAGAATGCCTCGGGGGAGCTCTTCGGAGCTAGCTGAGAGCGGATCGAGAAGGACGGCTAGCGACGAGCTTG